TTCCTCCAGACAACCTGTTGCTGCTGAGGTTTATGATGAATAGGAACAAAAGCTTGTGTCCTCTCATTTCACATGCTCAGACCCACTTGAAGTACCTCTCTCTCGTGCGTGGGTGGTACAAGTCAGATCTGCCTACAGTCCCCAAAAACCTGAAGTTTGTTTTTTTTTTTTTAAACTGTGGGCTTTATGTTAATGGTAAGTGTGTGCCTGTGCGTGGCCCTATGTGTCTGTGTGGGTGCATGTGCTACCCTTGCTGCTACAGTAGCAAAGCACCTGGAGGCAAATTTCTCAAAACTATTTAAGCTATTTTACTAGTGTGGGACGGTTTTGAGGTGCAGTGGTCACAAGCCACCCCTCTTCAGATGAAGAGCTGTGCTCAGAGAAGTGCCCAGCTCCCAGGTGCTCTCCCCCAGAAACAAAACCACAGAACAGCTGGCTGTGGAAGTGAAATCTTCGGCAGCATCTGCGCCATCAAAAGATTATCCATCTGACCTGCATCAGAAGCAGCTTTTGGTGTGCTGTGTTTCTGTTAAACATCTGGAGACCTGAGGTGGTACTGTTACACTCTCTGAAGGATTTATATGACCGGGATTGACTGCATCCCCTGGATCCGAAAGGCAGAAAGGCCCAGAGGTAGCATAAACATGGTGTTTGGCTGAGGTGTGAACTGGCAAGCTCGAGCTCGCTTTCTCCACAGGGCAGATCCTCAGATGTTGCAAAGTGTCCTGGCTCCTGGACTTGTAGACACTTATGTCATTCAACATCTGTCCCAAATGCTTAATAACAACCAATCATCCCTGTTTCCGGATATTTTCTTTTACACATCCTGCTTTGTGAGAACTTACTGCTACTAGAATTTTGCCGTGATGAGTTTCTGAAATGCAGATCTGAGAATGCATTTTATACATTTATGACTGGCAATAAATCTCAAAACATTTGAAACCACTGGTTTAGCCAGCTCTCCCTGTTTGAGAACAGCTATTTCACCTTCGTTTCTACTGCATAGTTTTCAATGTGTTACCTGTTCAACTCATATGGAGCAGTGCTGTGACTAAATGCAGTAAAATCCACTGGCAGACTACAAACATGTTGCAAAACATACCCTTTCCTCATGTGGCAGCAAACACCTGACATTTCTTTTCAAACTGCTTTCAGCTTTTAATATATAATATTACAATCATCCGTTTTCTATCATGTTCTTTTCATTTAATGAGTTGTTGAAAATATTTACTTTCTTCTCCAAACATCTCTGTCTTGTAATCGTTCTGGAGGCATCTGGAACTAAAATCTTTGATACTCTGTTTATCTGATTTTAGCTCAGTCAAAATTTCTATCAGAGAAGTCTGGAAATCATTAAGATAATTTATGTTTTCCATCTAAACCCATTAAAATAATAGTGATTGTAATTCTCTAGGCTCAGTGTATGTGTGTGGTTGCTTTCTAAACTTTGTCGTTTCCAGGATGTTCTAATAAGCTTGGCTCTTCTTTTGCCTTAGCGTGGAAGTACAATTGCTGAGTTACGATTCATTATCTTACTTTGCCTTGATACTGGGAAGAGAGAAATTAAAAGGGTTACTGAAATTGGTGAAAAACACCAAGAAGGGGAGAATCTGAGACAGAGTGACAAGATCTGGGTTCAGTTCCCTCTTCTCCTGCAAATTGATTTCTCTCATTTTTTTGTCTGAAAATGAGGGATAATTCTCCTTTTCCCCCATCCTTTTCTCAGTCTAGTATCTCCAGAATGGAAGATGTCTTTATCCATGCATATTGCCTAACAAAAACTGACTCCAAAATACAGAGATAGCATCAAGGGGTCCTAACTTCTTGTTAAAATGGATGACATTACTGGGAAGTCAGTACTAGTTTGGAATTCGGGGGGGAACCTAAAAAGTATCTCTGCAGTTCAGGTTTATTTCACAAATGCATTCCCAGACGAATTCATGTTAGTGCAACCTTTTAACAACTGTTGAATAATATACTGAGGATTTTTGGGTAGCCAACACCAGCAAGAAGTTCTTGCATGTGGGATAAGTTTAACCTTTGATAGAAATGTCAACTTCTGTCAAGATCATTAAATACTTGTTTAGTCTTCGACAATATTTTTGCTCATTTTCAGTTAATAAAATAGTCAATAGAACCTACTAAATTTCTTTCTCTCCCACATGGTTAAGAGGAAACTTTTGCATGCAGTGAAAATTGTATAACTAACTGTAGGCAGTTTGGAAAATACAGATATGAGAAAATATATTAACTGGGAGCCAAGCCATCTAATTTACTGCCAGAATTGCTCTTCTGAACTAAACCAAAAAACAACTGTATTTATTACTGTAGCTTAGTTAAGTGATTAAAATTTTTAAAAGTATTTGAGACGATCCATGTTGCGCTTTCACAAAGCCAAGTGCTCTAAGCAGAATGAGGGAGCACCGTGTCTAGATGGTGATGGTCTGTCCCTCAGCAAATGCTGTCATTTTTTTTTTGTAATGTGGCTGTGGTACAAGTCTAGGAACCCAAGTACAAGATTTGTCACTGAGACCACTACATTTTTAAGCATAAAGAAAGTGTAAACTGTGCTCTAGTCTCTTGCTCTTGGAACTGTCTTTTCAAAATCCTGTATTTAAGCTAAAACTCTTAAGATATGTGTCTATATACTTTGGCACTGGCTACTGATACAGCCTTGCCTACAAAACAGTAATCTGTAAATAGTATACTGTTTTGTACAGTAGGCAGTGATGAATTGCTTTATATTTGTCTTCAGATAGAAAAAAATGTATGAACATTTGCATATTGATAAATGGGGAAAAAAGATAATGATTAAAGACTATATCACTGAGCCCTGTGATGCAAAGGCAACTGCTTGTGACAGATGATTTATATTTGTTTATTTGCTCATATTAATGGTTCCAGCTAAACAGTTTACTATCATGAACTGAATTTTCTCTGATGCAGAAAAACTAATTTTTCCACTTTATGTAGCTGGAAAGTAGGGCGGTGTTACTCATATTTGGTTTCTTCACCAGCAGTAGCGAATAAATTGAATCTGGACATCTTAAGATAAAAGTCTGTTTTGCCTGTGCAAACTGCCACTGAGGCTTAGATACCATTGTTGCAAAGCTTAGAGCAAACAGAGCAGCTGTTTCAGCCCAGTTTAAACATGGTGAGCAAGAGTGAAGCATATTAACTCCAGCTGTGTACTGATAACAGCTGGGAAGGAAAATCACTACAAGGGAAGCCTAAGTAAACTAGAAGGCTTAGTTATCATGAGTGTGCCTCTAAGGGAGGAGCAGCAATGAAAATCTGATCCTTAGAACCATGGAGGATTTAATGAGGAATTCCCATGCCTCTTTTTGTGCTTTTGTGAAGATGCAGAGCAGGTTCTGGAGGTTGTGGCATTGCCTCTGAAGATTTTTGATGCAGATCTCATGCTGTACTTACACTCATGGGCAATTTCGAGACCAAGGCAAGTACTGAGTGATGGATTCTGTGCATCCATTCTGTATAATGGTGTCCCTTTTAAAGCAGAATATTGCACCGCTGCCCTGTCTGATTAGAGACTATGCTGTAATCTCTTCAGTAGCCTACATTATTCCAGAATAACATGTACCAGTATTCAGGCTACTTCTGAGGTTTTTATATTTGGGTACTTGTATTTTGCTCTGTTGAACACAAAGAGCAGTATAAAACTAGAGGAAATGATAAATATCACTCAGTGGTAAACCCAGCAAAATTATTCAGAGAAGTTGTATTAAAGCAAATATTTCCTTAGGTCCTTGTTGCAGTAGAATAATGGTTTACCTAGGTTTAGGTTTAATGGGAATATATTTTAAGAATTTCCTTCTGATCAATCCTTTGTGATAGCTTATGATTAAGAATAATTCTGGAACAGTTATGCAGTTGTAGTACTAAACCTTCATTATATTTCACACTAGTATTTTAAAGATAACAGGTTAATGGAGGGCTTCCTTGTGAAGGTCTCAGTATCTCAGTGACTGCAAAGGCCCAAAACATAAATAGCAGTACTGGAGGTACTCTGTGTTTTCCTCCTTTATCCTACTTGTCTTTCCCGTCCCTTCAACTTATGTTCATGTTCTATTTGGTGTCTTCTAACCTCCGTGGAGTTAAAATCATGTCTTGGGTATGTTCTACTAAGAACCTTGTGTACTTTAGATGGATGTAAAAGGACTAGACTTACACAGCTAAAGTTTTGGACAGGAGGCAACACAGCTGTCTGTGTTCTTCTGAAAAGAGAACATAAGGATATGAATAAAGACATTTAAATGAGGCCAGTTAGCATTGTCATAAAGTTCTTTTAATGTTAACCAGCTGTTAGAGACTTGTTCTCATTCTTTAGTAGATTACATGCCTCTTATTTTGCTGAAAGTCAGCGTGCTCTATTTCTGTATGCACAGCAGACAATTATATAATAAACCAGGTCTTCAGTTTCATGTGTATACAATTATGAGAAAGCAGTAGTTCCTCAAAGAAGGCAGTTTTGGCATCATTCATAAAGAGTGTTTTCAAGTTAAAAGTATGGACTATGCTGAGCGAAAAAATGTAAACACGTATAGATGTATGTGAAAATAGTAGAGGAGCAAAAGAGGATAGGAGAAACATGAACAAGGGAAACGGAATAAAAAACACATCCTGCAAATGACTTGACAAGACCACATCAAAACAGCTGTAAAGCTGGGTAAACTCTAAAGCCCAGTGGCATGCACAAATATGAGGACAATTTTAGTGTTCCCAAAAGACAGGGACCTGTCTGAGTGGGTTACTGAAAGTATTTGGATGCTGTATGTTAGTTATTGTCTCTTTCCTTATGTTTTTATATAAAAATAATTTGTCTCAGAGAGAAATCTGATGGCTCTGATCTTTTTATGACTGAAGTAACATTCTCATTGGGACTGTGTCCAATAAGCAGCTGCATAGTAAATAACCGATAATATTGCATTCCAGTTTCAACTATTCCCATCTACTACGGTTTGTTTTATTGTGTTTTTCAGGTTTGATTGCTGCACTGGATCTTTGACTGTGGTCCCCTCTACATTGCAACACTGAAAACAATGGCAACAGAATATATGAAAACATGCTGTAAATGGTGTTTCTGCATGGAAAAGGAAAAAAATGATCGTGAGTTCTGACATAATGACATCAAGTAACAGTTTTGCTGTTCTGGTTTCATTAATGGTGAAATTTCCCATTAATAAAATGACTGTGTCACCCGTGATAAACTTGATTTCTTTTACAACATCCCAAATTCTTTCCATACTTGGAGGTTGAACACATGCTTTTAAGTGTTATGAATTGGAACTGAGAAATAACACTTGTCTGGAGTCTGCTCTTTGCCGTCTAAAATACTGTCCAAAAAAGACAGCTTTTTTACCCAAGGTTGTGTAAAGGTTTTGTATCTTTCGAACTCTCAGAATTCGAAAGCTTTCTTTTTTTTTTTTCACTCTGTGGATTTACTGTCAGGATTTTCTTTGGTGTCTCAGTTGTTTGAAGAACTCTTCAATGATGCAAGTGTAGCTTTTGTGAAAATTCACGTTACGAGGAAGGTAGCTATAAATATAGAAGCTTGGGCAACAGAGAGTTTAGACCAGTACAGGTGTCAGGAGGAAAAATATCTTTTCCAGGTGCTAGTCCTGAATGCTGTAAAACTGAATATTAGCAGCTGTTAAGTAATGTATCAAGCACAGATACTATTAAATAAAAGACGTTTGTTCATGGTATTGTTCAAAAATTAATGCACATGTGGACTGTCTGTTTTTCTTGCTCTTTATTTTTAGCAGTTTCCATGGTGCAGGAATTTGAAGCAGGAGCTGCAAGCAAGCCAACTATTGTAGAGAAGCCTCCATTGTCTTCTGTGTCAGTGAAGCGTCAAGTTGGCTGTTCAGAGGATTATTTGCTTTCTAAACTGCCCCTGGATGGTCAGGAGGTACCATTTGTGGTCCCTCCATTCAAACTGGCGTATGTACAGCCAAAGAACCTTCCTAGTATCTCACATGCTGGAGGGATTAAAGGTACAATACAAACAGCATTGCTGAAATAGTTGTTTAGCTTCTGCTACTCCTTGAAAGTTATTCCTACTGTATTCCTACTGAAAACATATGTTTGCAGAACTTTTCTAGAAGCCTGGTCTTGTTTCAAAGATTCATAGAATACTATGAGTTGGAAAGGACCCACAGAGATCATCAAAGTCCAACTGCTGGCCCTGCACAGGACACCCCAAGAGTCACAGCATGTACATGAGTGCATTGTCCAAATGCTTCTTGTACTCTGGCAGGCTTGGGGCTGTGACCACTTCCCTGGGGAGCCTGGGGAGCTTGTTTCTTTTCTCTCTGGACACCCAGAGAGGTTTTGGGAAGTATGTCATCCTACTGTGAATCTCTGTGATGTTGCATGAATAAGACTGAAAAGGATGATTGCACACCAGTGTTCATACTCAAAAGTAATGGAAGACACTTACGGGAAACAGAATCTTTAGCGAAGAATTTATTGGAGGCAAGGAAAGACCTAACACATGCCAGCATCCAGACCACTCAAGTAAAAAGAGGAGGGTGGTCTGGCTTTCATGGTTAATATACTGATATGTTTTAACATGCTAACACATCTTCCTTTTCAAATTTTGCCAATACATGGCATGCACTACTACTTGGCAGAATTTTTTGTCCCTAGTATTTCCTATTTCCTGCTTTTTTTGCTGCTTTTTGGGAGGCTGGGGACACAGATCTCCATGGTATGAGGTTGCAAATGATGTTATGATTCTTTGCTTCATGGCAATCTTGTGTTTCAACCTCTGCATGTTAGTCCCATACTCAAACTGCCAAAATTATGTAAATGCAGTTTAGACACAGTGCCATTTTAAAAGAATAGGATCCTGGCCCAGTAACATGAGTTACAGGGCATACGCTATCATTAGGCTTTTAGTCCTGCCAGAAGATGCCTAAAATTAGGTAAGAGAAAATTTTGGCACAGGGACATACCTAAACAGTTGTTTTTTCTAGCATTTCTTTGTCTCAAGGATGTGATAAGCTGGGAATATGCTTTTAGTTCCATGTGAATGTATTTCTTTTCTGGAGGTGGAAACCTTAATAACTGAAAAAAGTCAACCACATGTTGCATAATAACTAATGCAGCACTACATAACTTTTTTTGTGTTTATGTGGTTTTATTCCCACCCTCCTCTCTCTCCCTGTGTCCTTGCCATTGCTTCTTGTGTCCTCCTGTGGGCCTATTACCAAACTTCCTCCTCATCCACCACTGCTGGTAACACTGGCACCAGAGCCCAGCTAATCAGCCCAGCAGAGCTATTCGGTGTAGATTGGCCATTCTGTGCCTGATCTTTCTCGTGGGCTTTACTTGTGATGTCGCACCAGACACGAACAGGCAGCAGAATAGCTGGAGGTAGAATATGTGAGGTCCCTCTCATCTCTGAGCCTGATCTCCCCATTGCTGTTGCCTGCTATTTTGGTAGCTATTTCTTTTAAGTCCACAAATGGACATGCTATGGAAATGCAGGACATGCTCCTGATAATCCCCTTTCTTACTGGGTCTGGGTGGTGGCTTTACCTTGCTTTGTCCTATCTTGTCCTCAAGATAGTATACAGAGAAGTCCAGCAAGGACTTTGAGGTATGAGTATTCTCCAGGGAGAAGGAAGATGTGTCTAACAGCATTTAGATGAATGTTTTCTTTGTTCATGCTGTTCTACACAATCTTATCAGTCAGTGTCTACATTGGGAATTCTGGTTCCTGATCATTTCTGAAGGACCTGGTGTACAGAGTGGCCCTTAGGCTATAAGCTGGCAGATCTTCTGGCAAGATGACCTGACTCTTCATAATTGTCTCTCTTGAGCAAATATTTTAAATTCTTGAGCAAATATTTGAAAAGTAGCTCTTATGTCAAGTCGACAACTTTCATTTCTATTTCCAAATATAAATACTTAATTTTTAAAGTACAGCTTTCTAAGCCTCATTAAAATTGTGTTTAAAAATGCAGCATTTACTTTTCAGGGAGATTTACTAAATACAGTGAAGTGTGCTGTCATTCCTTCCTCACATTAGCCAAACCACCAGCATACTCGAGAAATGTATTTAGAGTATTTTTTTCTTAGACCATTGTTAAATATCTGTAGAAATCCAAGTTCTGCTCTCAGTTCCACTCCATTTTCTGTGCATGTCTGGCCATTCTCCTTTAGCGAAACAGGACATTCTCAGTGTTAGCTCTTGGCATCCCTTCTGAAAGCAATTAAGTTCTGGCAGCCTTTCTCTTCAGTACTCACTGCACTGTGTCTCATGCTCTCACAGAAGTAAGCTAGCAGGAAGAAGTGTGCTCCTGGTCTGGAACACTGGCTTTTCCATCATCTGCTGTGTAGCAATTCTTTATGGCCTCACTTCTAGCATTCATCCTAATTTACGTCATTCTCCAGCCCATTATGCTTGAATTCGTGCTTTATCGTTGCTCATGTTCCATCTCAGTGTTTCAGTTATTCTTTTTCACTTTATTGGCACTTGAGGATTTTACAGCAGTGATAGTTTGTCTCTTATGGTGCAACACGCTTTCAGAACAGAAGGCACTTTATTGTGGGGTAAAGAACTTTTTAAGAGATAGGTTGAAGTCCAGGGAGGTGAAGCGAACAAAGTAAATGTTAAAGTTTGGCAGAATCACCCCATTCTCTAATGTACCGTTACATATGGCTTCATTTCACTCTAGACAGTAAAGAACACTACAGCAGTGTTCTTCACTGTTTTGCTGACCAAGATGTACATGTTTTTTTCTGAAATGATTATGGGCTGAGTAAAGGGCTGGGATTCAAGCGTTCTCAGATACGACTACTTGTGCTTCAGCCAACAATTCAAGTAATTTTGGACCAGTGATTTTACCATGGACAGGCTTCCCAAGGAGACTAGATAAACAAGGAGACTGCAGTCACAAGCTGCATTATTTTTCCATACAAGATCTTCCTGAAGGTGTTGGGATCCATTAGCTGAGTGGGAATATCCAGGGAATAGGTAGCCAAATAAATTGGAGGTTTTTTGTACACATGGCCCTACTTATCCTGTTAATTTCTGTCTTGCTGTCTGTCTGTGGAGCCTTCTGTATTTTAACTACTTGGCATTTACTGCAAAACTCCAAGACAGGGTATGCATAGTTTTTTATGGCCAATTAAATTCCAGTGTTTGCTCGCACACTGTGAAAACCTGACATAATGTGAATGTGTGTTTTCTTTTTCTTTTTTTTTTTCCCTTTACCCGAAGTAGATAATATTGAAATATTTTGTCCTTTGCCCTGAAGGCACTCTGCCTGCCTTATGAAGTCAGGCAGCATGTGTTATGTCTGGGACTCTTGCATTTGATGTTTACTTGTGCTCCACAGAATCTGCCAGGGCCTCATTTGGTGACCGGAAAGCAGAGCTACACGGCGTGTACCAGTGGCCCCGCTATGACGTGTACAACCCCTTCTATTTGGAGCACCGGGTTTCGCCAGATCTGATTAGGCGCTCCCAGGCAAAATCAGATAACAGGAAATTATATGGATCAGGTGAGGAGAACCACGCCCTTACTTTTCTCTCTGCCTCCCTTTTTCAGGGTTTATAGGTAGGAGGGCAAAAAAGCCATTAATCTACAGAAGTCTTGTTTGATTACAGCAGTCTCAAGTCAGTCTGTATGCTACGGACACTTCTTGGATGGTGAATCAATCTGTAGAGCCAGCTCTGCTTGATTTTCAGCTGTACTGTTACTTTTTGTCGTTTGGGGGCATCAGAAGACTCCATGCACCACACAAAGGTAGAGGAATTGGCGAAGTGAGCTACTGTAGCTGCTTCTGATCCCAAAGAGGATGCAGTACTGGAGATTTCAGCTACCAGTGATAGAAGTGAGGGAGCCGGAAAAAGGAAGGCAGGCAGTATGTTGAGTGGAGGAATGCCTGAGGAGTACGTACCTGGGAAGAGAAACAAGCACCAAAAAACGTTCAGGAGCAGATAAGAACAGGTGCAAAATGGGACATGATGCTCTATGCCAGCTCTTTTGTAGTTTGCTTTTGAAGCTACAGAAGTGTCCCCACTTCTCATTTTGTGTAAGAATGGGGGAGGGCTGCGTGATAGTAAAAGTTCAGATAGAAAGTGTTTGGCTACTAGGGAAAAATTATCTTCTCTGCTGTTCATTGGTAAATGTATCCTCTAATGAATGCTGTTTAGACTGAAGTAGATGACTAGGTGTTGCTTGTGATTTCTAAGGCAAATGCATTCAGAAAACTCAAACACTTGAAGAAATGTACACACCTCTCCGTTAAATCGAAAGCTGGCAACAGCATGCATTTTCAAAGATGTTTTATTTAGAATGGTATATCATGCTTATTTTACAGCTAGGGGAAAATGTCTCAGTCTGTGTCCTGTTTCAAAATAATTGTGAATCACCATAGAGACTACATGAAAAGACTACTCCATATATTTTTTAAGAGAAGAAAACACATGTACAATTTTAGCAGCCTTTAACACATATGGTTTTACTAGGCTCTGGAAGCACCTGTGGTGGGAGCCAAATGGATTTTATAAAACTGTCTTGAACATCTTCTCTTCAGTTCATCATCTCTTTTTCCATTTTTCTTCAAGCAGAGTAAACACTTTACTAGTTTTGTCTTACTAAGTTTAAACAAAAGAAAGGTTACTCTAGTGTGTCTAGAGTACAGTTTTAAAATGCCTTCTTCCTCCAGAGTTTTTTGACAGCTGTTTCAGAAGTTAGATGATTCTCATCATGTGCATCTATAGAATATTTAAGCAAAACTCTAAGCCTAGTTTGTTGCAGCAAGTGATACTTTTCATATATGTGGGTTTAGAACTACAGGATGTGTTTATTTGGGATGTATGAAGTGAAATTTTAGAATTCTAATATGAAGTTCCTCTTCTTCATCTTAAAAAAAACCTACATAAACAAATTGAAAAATAAATTTATTGATGTTTTCCCCAAATTCTAGTTATTAGTAAACAACATATGGTTAAAATTTTTCTGCTTTTTTAATATTTTCTTCCTTGAGAAAAGAAAGAATTATTTTGTATTCTATCATCTTACAATAACCATAATTAGTTCTTTCTTTTGATAGCAATAAAAAGGAAATACATTTTCAGTAACGAGAGATGTAATTCTCTTAAGATAATGATCGGTGGATTGCAGTGGGTGTCTTCTGCAATACCATAACACAGCATTGCAACAAAAAGCAATTCATTGCATTAGATAGCCCTAGAAGCTAAACTATGCTCATTTGCTTCAGTATGGGCCATTTTTGAGTTGGGAGGCTTTAAAAACCTCTTGAACATCGCTGGAGTCAGCAGAGATTCCTGAAACAGTGGCATTAGTTCAGCTTTCACCTACTGTTGCTGTATAATTATGCATAGAAAATGTCCTTTAGCTCTGTATTGAGTTGGGGTCAAAAACTGATAGCATCTACTTAACCACCAACTGCTGAGGAAACCACTCTTCTATAAAATAAAGATCTTGGGTTTGTGCTATAACAGGTACGTGTCATATTAGAGTTAAGACTTGCTTTGTCTGAGATCTAGTAAGGATATGGAGTGTGGTGCTTTGACAGAGTGATCAGTGAAGCCAGGGAGATGAGGCCAAGTTTAGCAGGCAGCATGTTTTTGCCACTGGAATCTTTACTGTGGAAAAATTTTAAAAAGGCTAAACCCCAGTTCTAGCTGGCTAGATTTCAAGACAAAGGTTTTCTGTTTTGTTAAAGCATCTACTAAACAAAACATTTCTCTTGAGGGAATAACTTTGAGGCAGGCTCCCCATCCTACTAGTGCTACCAGTGTGACCAAGTAAGTTTGAACTATTTCAAAGATGGAATTGAGATATTTTAATGGCTTACTCTCTCCATTTTGCCATTTCAGGGGAGAGTTTTGGAAAGGGGAAGTAGGGAAAGGTGCTGATATCCTTCCTTGGATGTTATTTAGCTAGGTTTCAATTCTACCATAGATCTACTTACATTTTTTTCTAGCAGTGATGCTGACATGATTCATATTGTTCTCTTTGTCTTTTTAGTTAGTGATTTAAGATCTAGTACTTTGCCTGGATCACTTGATGTAAGTCGTTCAATGTTTGATCTCAGAAGCCCGCCTCATCGATCCATGAAGGTGTGTTCCCCTTTTATATATATAATTTAGGTTATGCTGAAAACTCAGATTACTCAGTGTATCTGTTCCTGTTGCATTGTGTTTTCAAAGTAAATACTGAAGGGCATTGTACTGTGCACTGGAAGGACTAGAGGGGAAAGTTCAACATCCTGACTAACTTCAAGAGGCCTTTTCCTGAGGCTGCTCTGACGTGCTGTTCTGGCCCAGAAGGGCTGTTGAGAAACCCAAGTAGGTTGTTAGGCAGGACAAGACAGACAACAGGTCATGGCTCATCTTGTGATTTCTCCCATCAGTTGAAAAGTGGAACACTAGAAGTTTCCATTGACACAGAACACTGCCTTTTTTTTTTTTTTTTTAAGTAATCATCTTTTAGATAGCAATGAACTTGTGTGTGTATATATATATATATCCATGAGCAAAAAAAAAATCTGTGCTGGTCAAATGGATCCTGTATTAGCTCATTGCATCAAAACAGTAATTGATGGTGGATTAAGAGACTAGTGGGGAATGAGGTAATTATTTGAAACTGAGTGTTTTGTTTTCATCACATCTTGTCTGGTGGTGTAATCTCTCTGGGTTTTGCATCTGTTGCTCTGAATTAAGTGAATTTTTTGTCCCCCCCAGAGATATGATTCAGTCTCCAGTGTACCCAGCAGTACTTCTTCCAGGAAGGATTCACAAGGCAGTAACAGGAGTCTGGGTAATGTTTTGTTTGTTTACCTTGTAATGAAATATTTCCCTTTGCACGTGGAATATTAAGCTGTTTCTACTGTTGTTTGTTTTGGGTTTGGTTTTTTTTGAGATGAATCTAACTTGCAGGTCAGTTTGGAGATTACTTTGCAATTTGAGATTGAGTTTTGGACTTGCACCTTCCTGTTGTCAGGAGACTGAGCAAATGAGACTTTGAGGAGTTCTCATGCTTTTGAAAAATTCATCCCTGGATTTACTACCCTCATGAATTAAGAAATTACAGACATTCTGTTAGGGTAGAATGCAGCACTAGGTCACAGGTCTAGTCCTTTTTCATCTCTCAGTACAGTATTTTTCTGTGGGAAGTGCCTGAAATCCAATACATGTATTACACTGGTAATTAGACAAGAATATTGCATGCAAACCCAGCATCCTTATTTATGAAAGAATGCTGAAGAAGTGGAGATACTGCAAAACAAACCTTCAGAAATTAATCAAGTCCCCACAAAAGTCACTCTGCTAGAAGTCAGAATTTCTCCCAGTCTCCTCAAAAAGAAGACTGGGGGCAATGACCTAGTTCTAGTCAGGACAGAGAAATGCTGGACGTTAAATGGCTCTTCTGACCTGGAGAAAGCATAATAGTAAAATGTTTACTAGACTGGAATTGAAATCTGAGAAAGGTAAACAGGAGGCCAATTTATAAACTTAATGGTGAAAGAGATTAAGGGAAGTGATAGAATATAAATGTGTTCTGGGTGTCTCAGGCACATGATTTTTTTCTTTCTAAAAGTTGTTTGAGTACAACTAGTTATTAAATTCAGTAGAGATAACTCAGGCACATGGTATGATTCTTTGTGTGGTCCTCTGCAGAGCCACAGGACTGGACTTCAGTGACCCTTAGGGGTCCCTTCCAGTTCAGGATATTCTATGATTCTGTGCTAGAATGTGAAGGCTTTTAGCTATGCAAAAGGTCAAGCTACAGGACGTGGTGGATATTTTGTCATTAAAATGTAGGTGTTAAAGTATTTCAAACTTACTTTGAGAGGAGTTTGCAAAGATAACCAGTCCACCTACTAACGAGTTCCTGTATTCCTGGAATGAACATTTAAGATACTGCATTACTTCTAAAAACACTAATTGGCTTTCTTCCATAGATACTATTACATTATCAGCTGATGAACGAGACTTTGGAAGACTGAATGTGAAGTTGTGTTATGTTTCTTCTGTAGAACAGATCTGGATCACAGTTTTACATGTAAGCAAATATAAATAAGTTGTTTATTTATTCAAATTGCTATTTTCCTATACTTGATGTTAATTCTCATTAAATTTGGCTCTCTTGTTACTTTAATGAATACTTTTAGGAGAAAAATAAAATTACTGCTAAGTATTAATATAAACAAAGTTCAGTCAGATCTAATGCTGGGCTTCAAAGCATCCTGCCTCTCCTTGATTTTTTTTTCCTGTTGCAATCCCTGTTTCCCTGTTCTGCTACAGTCAATAGCAAGAAGTAATATATAACTCCTTATGTTACTATACATATGTTAACGTGTTCTAGTTGTGGAGTGAGGAACTATTCAGCATAGATTAGAAAGCTGAGATGGTCATAGGCTGGTCCTGCTGTGCACATTTTCCTGGGGAAATCTGAAGGCAGTAAATGGAAGCAACTTCAGAGGTAGCATTTAAGTGACTTCTGTGATTCTATGACTTTAAATCTAACAGTTCCTTCAGGGCAGAACCCTGATAGCACTTTGAGGACACGTAGCTTCTTGTGGCCTTTTTGTAAGCAAATGTGATACTGTTGTGCTGGTTGTTTTATTTATTTCCAGGAACTATGAGTAATTTTTAGGCAATGGAACTTTGAGTAGTCAGATACCTCAGGACTATATCAAATGTTAAAAAACAGTCTTACATTGTCTAAACTGACTGTGTTTTCAATGTTGCAGTGCAAAGACCTGTGCTGGCCTTCTAGCTGTGGGGAGAATCCTCGTATTTGCGTCAAGGGAATTCTCACACTGCCCAAACCAGTGCATTTCAAATCTTCTGCCAAGGAGGGCTCCAGTGTAAGTAGAGTCAGGGAAAACACTGAGAAATCTTTTTCCCAAGATAAAAAAAAAACATGAAATGTAAATGGATTTTTAAAATGGACCAAACATCCACTCCTATGCCATGTTTGCTGTGGTAGTTGCCTAGATGTGGGTTACTTCCCCCGACTTCTCATAACCCTATTAAAAGCCTCATTCCACTTCTTCCCCCTATATCCTCTCTTGCATTGCACTGTTGCCCTCCTTCTCTCTCAAGGCTGCAGGACAGATGCTCATAGGGGACTGAACCATGAGCTGCTGGTCTTGGCAACTCCATGGTGAGGGACCAGAGGAAGACTGGGCATATGTGTAGGTGCACACTCATCCCAGGGAAGGTAGCTGATGTACTGCCTCTCATATGGCAGGAGACAATATTAATGCTTTGTCTTTACAGAAACTGTAAGAATTGGTTGCATAGGACAAGATTCCTGATAGCGGCAGTAAACGAATATTAAGAGGGTGGAAGGGAAAGCAACATAAACCTCCCATAATGTGTGCCAAAGATGAAAGAAAATAAAATCAGCTGGAGAGACTGTAGCAAAAGGCCACAGAATCTGTTATAACAATGTGTGTGTGCTGTTGTAAAGCTCCAGAAGAGATGGCCACAACTCGTTATAGTAGTGAAGAATAATCCCGAGCTTTCCCCCTGCCAGGGTGCAACAGTGAGGATGAGTCTGTGCAGGCTTACCACTATAAAAGCACACTTTCCATGGCAGCCTAAAATAGTAGTTGTGAGCAGTGACTATAGAACCAAGACACCTTGATTTCTAGGTTCTGGGCTCAGTGGGACTCTCTTAAAATGGTGATGTTACTCCTCTGTTTTTCTTTCTAGGATATTGAATTTATGGAAACTTTTGTATTTGCTATTAAACTGCAAAGCCTGCAGGCTGTCACATTGGTATTTAAAATCCAGACACAGACTCCCAGGAAAAAAACAATTGGAGAATGTTCCTTGGCACTGCAGGAGCTGAGCTCGCAGGAATCAAGTCATTGGCTGGATATATCTCCTCCTTCCAGAGCACCTGTAAGTTCCAATACTGTGAAAGTATGTTGTTATCTCACCTAGAAAGAGTTGCTGGAAATGAAAGTAAAGTAATGCAGTAGTAAAAACGAGGGAGGTTATTTGTTTTTCGTCTCCCCACATCCTTGGGAAAGGCATTTTGATGGGGAAAAAATGCAGACTTTTGAACTCTGCACATAGCTGTTCTGGTCATAAACTGCAGCTGTTTCTAGGAAAATAGCTAGAGCAGACTCTTCCACACCATGGCTCACAGCTTGAGGGAGGGGCATTCTGGGGAAATGTTCAGCAAAGGACACTGGGTAATTGTCTTTTCTGACCAAAAAAGCATCAGAAGATCCTTAGCACTCACAGCAAGAGCTCAGAGCAAATGGAATCTGCTTTTGTTGTGGAAGAAAAGTGCTAAGGTCTTCAGTGGCTTGAAAATGCAGAGACAGACATATATTTAATGTTCAGATTGCATGCTGTGAAGTAATAATTCATACAGTTCATTTCCATTAGTGTAATAAGAAGCAGGTGGTTTTCACAGTGGGATTTCCTTTCCCCATACCCTTACTTTGTTTGTTTCTTTTATAGATTGTGTCTAGACATTTGTATTTTCAATAAATTAAACTTGAATTAGCAATTCAAAAGCAAATTTTATTTTAAGCGTGTCTGAGTAAAATGAACGATACTCTTGATTTCTAACGTAAGCTACACTTGACATTTTTTAGTTCTAACAAGAATAACAATATTGCTTCAAAAGGAGTAAGACTAAGTGACAGAGGAAGCTGTTTTAGAAAGCATTTCATCTCAATGTAAATTTCTGAATCATATCATAGTATCTGTGTTGGCTTTCCTCACTATTATACTCAAGAGCCCTCCAGACACTGCTGGGATTCATCCCTGTGCTACCCTGTGGGGCAGCAAACACTACCCTCCCTGCAAATAGAAAGCCAAAGCTCAGAGTCGAGTAAGTAGCTTCCTCTCAGGGTTACACAACAATTCTTTGGCTGAGCTGCAAAGAGAATTTGGATCTCTTTGATGAACCGGAGCCTGACTTCTCTTTACCTGACCTGTTGTTCTCTCACTTGGTGCATTTTGCTTCACTGAAGTGCATTAAAACTTGAAGGGAACGAAGACTAGCAGAGTCCATTTCAACAGAGGCTGTCAGGAAAGGTTGGCCTTTTCCTGATGCTTTTACAGTGTTCTGAGTATGTTAGTCTGACAGGAGAGCAATGAGAATGACACAATGAACTTTGCCACTAGCAAAAATTCCAAAATAAAAAAAAATAGACTGAAGATCTCAGATCATTCAGAGTGTGTGCCGCCGGGCAAGGATGTACGTGTGTAGGCGTGTAAAACACAAGTGCTTCCATAACATAGGAAAATTCACAGTATGCAGTCACCCTAAGCATTCATGACATTAAGTGACAGGGCTTTGTATCTATGGAAAATGTTGCTTATATCTCCATATTGCAAAATTCAGAAGTGTGGGAGGAGAACTCCGACGGTTTCTGTGTAAGTGGAGCACACCTGGTCTCTCACTTCCACACCCAGGTTTAATAGAGCTGCAGCAGCATGTCTGGTCTTCCCTGCATGTGTCTGCTCTTACCAGTACAGACTCTTTCCCAAGTGAACACTGAGGACTCGTTTACTTGCCCCTATCCCTGCCTACAGCCCACCCAGGGCCATCTGTGCACCGCACATATGCAGTCCGTCAGCAGAGCACATGCATTGCAGCTATGACAAGTGCAAGATGAACTTACTGTGCATCTGCAGGCTGTGTATACAACACATGCTCATGTTTCTGTCCAGGAAATCCCAGATAGAAATGCAGGAGCCCAATATATGACAGAATTCCTGTGTTTCCTGAGTTTATAAGCAACTTAATCCACATGTTATGGCAACATTCTTCTGCTTGTAGGTGCGCCGTGCAGAACTTCAAATAGGAACTTGTTTTCAAGCAATAAACAGGAGGATACAGTTACAGATTCTTGAAGCACAAAACCTTCCTGTTTCATCTACACCACTGTCTTCAAGTAAGTTACATCAGCTGTTTCATGCCTCCTGTCTAAAAGCATTTGTAACAGGTTAATTGCTGATCAAATGGGTTGGCAATTCATAACATTCTTTACAAACCTCAGACTAATGTATTGTGCAGTAGACTTCCATTGCCAAGGCTTATTTCCCCAGATGTCTTACTTGATTACTTTTTGTTTGGTTTGAAGCTATGTGTTTATGTATTTTGGAAGATTTTTATCCCAGTATTAATCCTGACATACAAGAGCATTAGCTTGCACTTGCTGTTTGGATACTGTGTTAATCAGTTCAATATTACTGAACATACTCTGTTTGTGTGACTAGTCAGGAAAGCTATTGTACAGTTCTTTTGGCCAGACTTTTGAGAAACTGTTGCAATTTGAACCATACATATGGATCTGGTTGGTTCCTGTTTGGGTGTGTTTGTGAGTAACCCTTTGTGTGGTATGCCTTTTTCCTTCCCTTTTGTGCCAGATTTCTTTGTGAAAGTTGGAATGTTTAGTACAGAAGGGATGATCTATAAGAAGAAGACTCGTCTTCTGAAGTCCACTAATGGCCAAGTGAAGTGGGGAGAAATGATGGTTTTTCCAGTTAGCCAAGCAGAACAAGGAATTAGCTTTCTCATCAAGCTCTACAGCAGAAGCTCAGTGAGAAGAAAACACTTCCTAGGACAGGTTGGTTTCTCCTAAATAGCCTGATCCTTTACTTAAAATCCAGTTCCACAGGTTTCTTGGTATGAGTTTTCAAATACCTTAAATGAGGTGGCATATAGCAAAATAGTAAATTCTAATGAACTCTTCTGGATGTAACCCAAGCAAGAATAGTACTGGATTCTTAAACATGCACTAACATCAGAATAGGAGTTTTGTGTGGAGTATTACTATCTGAAAGATTCCTTCCAAGAGACACACCATCTCCTCCTTGCCTCTAGGCTTTGTAAAGAAAACAAACACAGCACTCACAGGATCTGCACAGCCTACAATGTCCTGTACAGCAAGGGGGGGGTGTTGGTTACCCCACCAGTACACTTACAAACAGGTGTGTATAAAAGGAAGTATCAACAGCTACAATATGAGACCGCCTTCCTAGGTAAAACCAAAAAAGCTGAAATCAGTACTATATTCTAAGTATATATGATAAAGAAATAATATAGGTGTCCAAACACAAAGTATTTTTTAGGCTTGTTTTTTGTTGCCTTTTTTTTTTTTTTTTAACAAACAGAACTTCAATAGTATCTCTTTGAAAGCATTTGTGTGATCATATTTATTTAACTACCGTAAAGCTTGGTAGTCTGGTCTCTTTATTCTCTCTGTCCTCTTCTCCTGGTTGTTCTAATTTACCATCATCCTGTCCCTTCTTTCTCTCCTTTTTTTCTTGGTATGGTGAGCCATAGCTGTTGTTAAAAATCTCTGTGCTTTCTCTGACCCAGTTAGATGCAGTAGCAGAATTCTAATATGTGCAAAAGTGAATAATGTAGAATTGATTTTGAGACCCCCCAACTGTAATGTCCTATGTCAGATGGAGAACTGTGCTGTCCCTAGGTACAAAAAATGGTACTGTCCCATTCTGGTGCTGTTTCCTGTGCCTGCTGAAGACATGCAGTGACAGGAGATGCTGAAGTGCTAGATGCTGTAGAAATTATGTGCCAGCAAGAGTTATGTGAAGTTCCTCCATTTTTTGGAGCATCATGTCACACATGTCCCATCTTTCTGCAGTTCCTGTTGGTGGAATTGGATTTGAAACAGGAAAAGAAAAAAATGGTTCTTTTTAGTTGTGCTACTTTGGGGATAAAATAACTGGGTATGATTTTGCAGTCCCTAGAAATATGTGAGGTCATCTCAATCTGATGAGTTACATTTAATTCATGGATCTTATTTTTAGGGGGAGGAAATGAGCTACTTGTGCTCCTCGGAGATTATTTGGAAAAGGTTGTTTCAGCTCATGAAGGCAGACATTGCCACATAACACACGAAGACATAAAATATGGCTCAGGGGAAAATGTACTTTGAGCAATTGGCTGGGTAGCTGGAAAAAAATGACTATAGCTGGATCTATTAACTTTGTCCTTCAGAGAATGATGTTTAATTGGATGCTGTTCTAAGCAGACAATACATAGATTAGGCTGCTTTTACAAGCATGTCTTTAATCATGGGCAAGATGTACATTGAATCTCTGTGGATGAAACATCAGCTGTCTGTGGTATTCTGGAAGACATTATTCTCACTTCTCGAGGACTCATGCCCCAGCAGTGTAGGCTAAATGTACTTCATGGTCAAGGTTTCTGAGAAGTCTTAAAAGGACTCATTCTTGGAAGACATAAGGAAATAGAGTCCTGTAAATAACGATACCTACTTACATAAGCAGAATTCTTTTGGCAGTGGAGGCTGGTGATAATGTTAAGGGGGAAAATTTCCTACTTGTACTTCATTTCCCTATTTCATGGCCACTACCCGTTAGCTGAATACTGAGAAGAAACGGACTCTTACTACGTGACTATGTGTGGTATGGGCATGTTAGTAAACTCTGTGGAATGCAGGTTTGGCCCTGTCTGTGAGAGTGTGCAATTTTAAATGCTCATGGAAATGCTGGACAGCTTGTGTAGGGGATGCCAGATGGCTCATGGCCAACTGCGTTCGAATGCACAGAGCCACCACTGGCCCTGATGAGCCCTTGACCCCAGCACGTGCATTTGAATAGAGCAAGGAATGCCTGACTTAAAACATCTTATTAAGTACAGAAACACTATTATGTGGTGGGTTCTCTAAACTACTTTAGAGGCTAAATTTAAACACAGACTCTCTGTGTTCCCAGCTGAAAGCCAAAATATGTTAGGATTAGCAGAACTGTATTTATTGCTGTTATGCTTTGGTCACAGTCTATACGTTATATCTTGTTCTACACTTGCATGTTATTTATTTGGAACTAGCAAAGGCTGGGCCTCTGTGTTATATCAGGTAAACTCAATTTTATTTTTGTTTTTGTTTCTTAATGCAGATCTGGTTAAGTCCTGATAGCAGTAACAACGAAGCAGTAGAGCAGTGGAAAGATACCATTGCCAACCCTGAAAAAGTTGTTGTTAAATGGTACAGCATTGGTCCATCTTGAAGACTGGAGATGAAATTCAGAACTGATTTTTCTACAACAATTCCTATGCTGTCTAAAATAGTATAAATAAAAAGAAAAATATTGTCTACACAAGTTCAGTTCTTCACTGCATCCTGCCTCTGTGGAAACTGAGGAAATTCACCAAGAGAAATACCGGCTAAATATTATTAAGAAGAAGACTTTAGGAACTGGGAAAAGTGTTCATTTGATTTCAAAAAATCCACCTTGAAAAAAAGATTTTTTCCCCTTTCAGGCTTCATAAAAACACAGAAATTCAATCTTTGAGAGAAACAGCTTGAATCAACTGTATTTCGCGTTACTGACATTGTCTTCATCTGCAGTCTTGTTTTTGGCAGACTCCAAAGTCCATGGGTATCAGTTGGGTCAGTGGCTTGATCCTGGGTACCTGTGAGCCTCTGGGGTTGTTGACACCATTTGATCAGAGTAACACGTGCTTGAGCAAGTGGGAAAGCTGTGGCAGTAGATGAAGGCATTTTTGATGAAGGGTTGTTCAGTACCTGACATGCCTGGAGCCTGAGTTTGCCCCCATCCTTCTCTCGAAACGGAGAGATGGAAAGACAAGAGTTTCTTTGACTTAGTGATCTTTGCAAGAGGGCCCCTCCAGACTTGCTCTGTTTGGGTAAATTCTGTTTGGAATAATGCAGAGGCAATGACTCTGCTTAGGAACAGAGCCAGTATTTTTAGATAAATTACTTTCTTATATAGAGTACTTATATGTAAACCACTTCCTATCTAATCAACAAGGCTCTAGCGTCTGCTTACATTGCCAAAACCCAGACTAACATGTACAAAGGAGCAAAGATTTACTTACATAAGTGCTTTTTGATATTAATTAAAATGTAGCACTGTAAGGGACTTTGTTTAAAGGATAGGCTACTACTGCAGAAGTATTTGTTACATGTCTACAATGCTGAAAAGTTATGTGTGGGAATATATTTTTATTACTTGTTTCTAGTAAGAAGAAATTACCATATTTTTATTGCAAATTATATTTTTCCTACAAAATCCCAAAATTATTTTTTCTGTTAGTTCCCATATTTTCAGGGGGTTGTTCACAGTTATTTTTAAGAGGGGGAAACACCATGTATATAACTGATAATATATAAATTTAAAAGCACAGACCTCTTTGCACTACTTTAACTATCAGATTGGAAAAATACCTATATATTCCATTAAATCCACTGCTTACACATTTACTGTTGGCTGTCTGGACTGTACAAATATGTGTATTTTTAAGGATGCTGAATAATTCCACCTTTCTTTGTAACTTGGATCCGGTTGCAACATCTGACAGGAACTAGCACAGCAATGAGAGCGCTCACTGCTGGAAGGCAAAGGAACACGGGGAGCAGAGAAAAGACTGTAACAGGAAAGCATGTCCTCTTGAGCATCTTTATTTCAATTTTTTTGTCTTTGAGTAAGTGTTCAAGAAAAAATGGAATCTCTTTGATTTCCCACCCCCAAATCAGTTGAAAATTGAAACTTTTGAAACTTCAACCATCCAGATTTTGGCTGTTGAAATTTAATATTTTGAAAACAAAAGGATTTTCCCAGGGTCTTATATGCTCTGCTTTTTGACCAGTCTTTATAAAAGAACTGAAAAAGGTTTTGCATGCTACTTGGAGAACAAACGTCGATTCTAGCTCTTACTGACACTCTTTGCAAAGCTCCCAGTAGGCCCAGAGGATCTTGACTGACAGTGTTAACTTCCAGCCAAGTTACACTTCTTGGGAGGACCCTGTCCTGCTGGGTAAAATGAAAAAAGGAACTGGACCGAACTGATACTTTTGGATTATCTTTACTTGAATACATGGATCTTTTTTATTCATTGTGGCTGAACATTTTATTCATTGTGGCAGTAAACAAAAGTGCAAACTAACTGTTTCCTTATGCAGAATGCTGTTCTGCTTAAAAGAGAGAACAGGGAATATCCCAGGGTTTTATAGACTTCCATTACCACAGCAGTGGTTCTACAGAGATTGCCAACTCAGTGGATATGTGTAAATGGACTTTTGGGGCTGCTTTAGGACACCTAGCCTTCTAAAGGCCTAACTAGTCTCTTTATTCCTACATTAATATTTAATCTATGTGTTTATAATAAAAGATATGAACAGAAAATATTCCTTTTTTTTCCCAGTTGTTTATTCAAATGTTTACCAGCATCTCAAACTGAAGTCCTACTTTTTTCTCTGAGAAAATCTCAGCTAATGAACTCTCTTTTATGTAGTGTTGCCTGTAGGAGAGTTAACTGCTGCCACATAAGCAAGATGCACCCAGGCACTGGAGCACTCTGGGGCACCGCTTCCTCCTGTGCTCATCTCCAGGCTGTGGAGTTTTCTGCATTTGTGTGCATTCATGTAAGAATTTAAGGAGTTCTTAATAGTTGACTGTTGTCAACAGTTGTGCTTTTTTTCCTGTCACATAAAGCATTTTTCCATGGTGATTCATTTGGGTCTAGAGCTTATCAGTATGGTTGTTACCTTAGACAACAGTCCTGAAGAAAAAACATAAGACCAGGGGATACACGCGTGTTCCCAGCACCAGTCCCAGGGTACAACTGCCTGTAAAATGGGCTGTTCCAGCAGGTGTTATTTCAATTTGACTGTCTGAAATGCCAGCTAGAAATCACCTGGGATGTCTTGCCTTTTAAGTGCAGAATGTTTTGCTTTACTGCTTAGTGACTGCCTCACTATAAATGCATGTGAGACTTAAGCTCCTTCAAATTCAGCTCCTGGCTTATTTGAGACTAATGCAGTTTTCCAGGAAAGGAAAATGATGCATCATTTGAAGACCAATCCACGATATAAATTACCAAGGAACTTCATGTACTCCAGGATACAAGCAAGAAGGAAAAAGAGGTGTCTCGGAGCACTCTTCTAATGGTCACAGCTGTATGTTGTCCCTCTTATGCATGTTCAGCCACTGTTTTGATTGTTACATCCAAGTTTACTTTCATTGAAAATACTGTTAAGAAAGCTGTTTTGTCAGTTCACTTAATTTGTAGATATAAGGCACACATGGTTTATAGTTGAATTTGCTGTTGGTTCTAGTTAGTGACTCAGCTTCCTAACTTACAACAATTCTGATGAAAGCAGCAGAGGTCAGAAGCTGCACCAGTTTTATTTCGGTCATCTCCCAAATGAATATGGATGAACTGGAAGAACAGTTATGATCTTATATTAGATGTTATTCATACAGAGGTCTGTGCTTGCATAGTTAGAAACCAACCATAGACTAAACTTAATCAGATTTTCCAAAATGTGTGTATATAATTTCACTGGTTAATCAAACAATCCTGTTTTATTTATTTATGACTAATAGCATTCTGTATGTAAACAAGGTCAACAAAGTTTTTCAAGTTTTTTACATCTCAACAGCATGGCATGGCATTCCTTTTAAGGAAAAAAATTGTAAGATTCTACCTCAGAAGATGAGTGGGTGTAACAGCTTGTAAACCATATCATCATAAAATATTACTTGGAAAATAATTGTATTTGAGCACCCGATCTTTTGTGATCACAACATAAATAGTGCCATATTGCTAAATCCATTAGGCATCCCTAGTTTTTCCTTTTGTTGGCAGGACATTTTTATAAAACAAAAGGTATTTTTGTAAGCATTCAATTAAGCACATATGGTGTTTGACTTGAAAACTGTCTGCTGATGGAGGTTCCTTTTAGAGTTATGAGTTGATTTTGCAGCCAAAACACAAGGTTGTCTAGAAATCTGGGGCAGGGTTGTCCCAGTTCTTACTTTCATCCTGCCAACATACGTATGACATGGGAGGGAGGCTGCATAGTTGTGGAAAGCTTGGCATAAATCATACTGGATGTGATATACCCTCCTTGTTTTTCCAGCTTCTGCTGCGAAATTACATCACCATGTAAATACAGCCCTGTACGTGATCTCATGCTTGGTGCATGGAAAAAGCCATCACTAAAATCAGCACCATGTTTCACAAACACTGCTCCAGCACATGTACATTCTTTTCTCTAGCTTGCACTGAGGAACAGGCCATTGTCTTTCAGTCTATGGCAAAACTCCCACTGCATTCAGCAGAAGCAACCAGTCTTCAAAGCTGGTTTAGTTATTTCAGCATTGAGATAGTGTGATTTATCTAAAAGGTTACAAGCGGCTTAAATTTTTTATATATTTTTTAAATAGTTAAAAATCTCTTCACAGTGATTTTTCTGTAGAAACTGAATTTCATTGAGAGTGGATCTGCATCTCTTAACATAATGCAATTCTTCCCATAGATTTCAGTCTTTGAAATAAATCCACTGTGTTGATTATTTTCCCATTATGTCTGATTGTGCAGGTTTTCCCTTCCTTTGATTTGACTGTAGACTGCTCTTCTGCCTCAGCATAAACAAGTGTGTAAATGGTGTCTGCTTTTTGCAATTAACTTTCTGCTTTTCTAGTAATGTTCCCCCCTTCTTTACCTAGTACTGGGACCAGCATTGTACATGTTTGACTTGCTGTTTAAAGAACTGGCTACAGGCAGAAGGCTTTCATCCTAGCACTTGGCTCATGTCTCATGCTCTGCATTTCTGAGCTACCTTTGCTCACAGCTTCAATGGTGTGGTTCTTTTGGAGCTCCCCAAATTCCTGTGTTGTCTACCACCGTTGAATACAACAATGGGATAACTCAGTTGTAATTTCTTATGTGTACCCAGGTATCTTCACTTGCCTTTCTCCTCCTCCGAAAATTAGCTTAGGAAACCATTTTGGGTGTTGAGAAGGAGCAAGCTGTTTGTGCTTCTGAGCTTAAGGGACAGGAGGGTTGTTTGACTGCCACCACAGTGCTCTGAGATGAAGAGAAAGGCTCAAGGAAGAGTCATGAAAAGCTGCACCTCCAGGTGGAGGGAGGCCTGCCTGTACCTCCTGCATATATGATCTGGGAAATGCTTACTAATCTGGGGACTGGGATCCATTGTCAGATGCCCAAAGGAAAAGGTCATCATATTGTACTTTTTATCCTTGTCTTGCAAAAGAGCTATGGAGCAGCTAAATAGGGAAATTTTTCATAAGAGGAATGGTATGGTTCACAGATTTCTGTAAAGCAGAGAACTGACTAAAAGATCTCAGGACTCTTTGAAAAAAAGCAGTCATAGAAAGGTATTTGTTAGCTTTAAGTATAGCCAAGCTTTGTCACTTGTCATAGGAGAGGGGTGAATTCTTCCTTTATGATACATAGCAGAAGAAAATGGCATGTGCCTCCAAAACAGGACTGGTCTCCTCTGCATTGGTATCATTAGTCCTTCCAACACTGAGGTGGAACTAAACACACTTAGCTGCCCATTTTCCGGCAGTAAGGGCAGGTTGAGTGGGCAATTGTTAAAGGGAGGTTGTGAAGGAGCATAATAATAAAAGCATGAATAAAAGCAGCACTTTTGTTTGGAAAAACATTGTTTTTGAAAGCAATGTAACATGCCTGTAACTATTGACAAAGCTTTTATTTGACATGAGTAAAGATAGACGATTACGCACTTAGGTATTTGCTTAGGTTTTTTCAGTATTTCCTGGCATGAGACTGGATTCATCCTCTTTGTATTTATATAATGCTTCATTCTGCTGCATTCATTGACCCTTGAGCTCTAGACCTAATTATGCCTGATTTCTTATGGCTTTGTCCGTCATGGCTGATTGACTTCAGTGTGCAAATCGGGATAGACCTTCTTCGATCTTTTTGCTGCACATCAGCAGCAAATGAATCATCAGCAGCAAAGAATTCTCTCTTAGATGAATTCTCTCATTTCTAATCAGAGGTGAGCTCATGACAGCTATTCCTTCACCTGGGAAACTGGGAGCTGGCTCTCCTACCTGAATGTTCTTGGGTTTTCTTAAAACCTTTGGAAACAGAATTATCTGTGACATCTCTGCCATCAGTCAAGTTTGGCTGCAATGACTAATGAGCTCAAAAATTATTGTGGACCTTGGAATAGAAATGAGTGAAAACAAGCTCTGCTGCTTCAGGACCCTGAGGCTCAGCTGTGTTTTCCTCTGTTCTACCATAGAACAGAGAAGCTTTTCAGATCACTGCTGATTATGGTTCCAGCAATACTAGTTCTCAAGGCAGCTCAAGCTCAAGCTCTAAAGAAATACTTGTTAAAGCATGGACATTTTGAAGCATAATATTTTGTGCTATGGAGCTGGCCACATGCTGGGGTTTCACAGTAATGCAGTTTTAAAGATCTGGATGAAGAGAGTTGTGATGTACTTTGAAACTACCATTGACTAAAAGCAGAAGCAGAGGTTTAATTAAGGTTAGTATTAAGAAATGCTTTAAAAGCCTAATTTTTAGATAATAAAATAACCAGTAGCAGCGGACTTCAAGTCCCCTTCTAATCTCCAGCATGTACATCTGATTAGGACTCCATTGATGCTCACAGGGAATAATATTGCATTTTTTAAAACATTAGCCTTACTATATTTAAGTCAGCACTGAGCTTGAAAGGCTGGGTGTTCCACTGCCAGAGTGCTGGCTCTGGAACCTACACAAACTGTCCTGAACCTCAGAAGCAGGATCTGAGACTTCTGCTTTCAGATCTACTTTGTGACTTGTGCAGAACATAAAAAAATAACCAATGGAATCAGCTTAGTTTCAGGTAGTCTTAGTTGCCTTTGGAGCACATAGGTTATTGAGAGTTGTGAGTCTATGGATCTTGATTTACTGTACAAATATCCCCAAAGAACCGGATGATTGGATGATGAATCAATGCAAAGCTTTGGAATTTTGTTTTTTTTAAAGAGCAGGACAGATAAGCCCAAAGAGTTCTGGATGACACTGACAAATCTGCAATCAAATCTATATGACTGGCTCAAGCTGATAAGCTTGCGTGGGAAAAAAAAAAGTGGGTCAGAATGCCCATGAAAGAAAAATAGGGAAAAGCAGGTAAAAATAGAGAGAAAGGGCTGCAAAAATCAGCCCTAATTTCAAAGGCAAGGAAGTAAAGTCTTGGTGATGTTAGAGGCACTTTACCAAGCTCTTGTGCTAAGGTGAAGTAGGAGTAGAAGAGGATCTCTGAGACTCTAGTCTTTGCTGTGATTTGATAGACTTTGCTGTCTCTCCACATTGCACTTTTAGTAGACCAAAGGCAACCCTGATGATTACCATT